GCACCATATAACCCAGTATTATCTGCCATATGGTTGGGTCATTGGCAATTAAAGTCAGTTTCTTCTACCAGGATTATCTGGTGAGGAAGATTAAAAACAAAACCCAGCAAAGAAGAAGATGTACCTTCTTGCAGGGTTAACAGCCATCTAACATCTGGGATAAACATGGCTCCATAGCTATGTATGCAGCCATTGCAATGATGACAAAGCATCACTGAGTGGAAGAATTCCTAGAAGTTCCACCAATAGGATTAATAGCGATATGCTGATGACCAAAGTGAACCTAAAAGTTGGAGGATGTCAGCTGTAGTTTGAGCTGGGAAGGAATGGACTCCACCAGATTGACTTACCAAAGATACATTATGCATGTCCAGTTTTCAACTTGGGTACATGGATAGAAACAGTCAGGTGCTCAGTGACTCCCAAGACCACACCTGGTCATGGGATTAAAAATGATGAATTTAGAGCTTACAAAATCTAGATACCAATTATCACACCCTATGTTTAAACAGAGTATGCTGAAGATGGAGAAAATTTGAAATATTTAAGATTTCCAAATGGAACTTTGCATCAAAATTAAAATGATTATCTTTAAATAAAACTAGTGAAGGTTTTGCATCATGTTTTTGATTCCAAATTTGCTTCTTTGAAAGGTCTGAATCTAATGATTACTTTTTCAGAATTGGACAAGACATGTAAAATATCCAGATCCATTACAAGAAAAAGCACTTGAAAACTGCATTTGCGTTATTTTGTCAGGTTGGAACTTTCAAAACAGTATCAAATTGCAATAAAACATATGAAACTAAATAAATCTTTTCACTTCAAAATGTTTTCTATTGAAAATTTTATGTAATTTTTCACTTTTTTATAAATTGAAATTATATAACCTGGAGAATTGGTAATCATATTTTTATATTTGTTTTATACACATATATTGCATACCATAATGCTTCCTCAGTGGGGAGGGCTCAGAAAGTTTCAGGCCTCTATGACATCAGATTTTTTTTCTCCTGTGCACAAAGAGAAATTTATATTTAATGAGACATAAGAGGTTCATAAATACAGTCACTATCTTTACATATGGAAAATCCTGCAGTCGTTATAATCTCAAGAGCTAAAATTATACACAATTTTAACTGAAAATAAAATTAGTTGTTGAACTTCAATGAGCTTTTTCTTTCACCACAAACCAATTACATCATTTAGTTGAAATCATTAAAGTGCAGACAATTTTAGCAAATTGTCTACCTTTAAAATCTTAAAATTATTTCATTTGTTTGTACATACAAATGTAAAATTACCATTTTAGGTCAAATCATTAAAATTGTATAAATATTAATATGTTAAAGAATCATTTTAACTAGATAATTCTTTGATAAACGAGACCAAATTACTAATTTGTATATTTTAGAAAGTATATGAACAAACACATTTATGATTACAAATTTATCATGTGGTCGGACTTGGTCTACTCAATTTCTAAAACTCTAATCAAGAATCTTTCAGTAGCCATAAATGCTTAAAAAAATTCCAGTTTTACAAAGTCTATGAAACACCATTTTTTTTTTAAATGGGGCATATATATGCACAAATGTGCCAGGTACTTTCTTTTGAACATTATGAAACCATTTTTTTTTTTAAATAAAAATTATGGAAATACTAATATTTTATAAAGAATTTAAAAGTTAGTGTAGAATGATTTTGTTTTATTGTAAAGATAAAATTTCCTTATCAATAGCATTTTAATGAAAACACAGGTCATACAAATTGGTAATAAGATACACAGTTTTTATTCAAACTGATTTTCTTATCCATGGTGCTATGGCTGTGTTTTGGTCATTGTACCTTCCATCTATTTTCAGGTGCCTGCCATATTCATTAAGGTTCTTGAAATTTCATATTGAAATACAACATGAGGATAAGTTATTTTCATCTTGCTGCCCAGGATAGTGGATATCTTATGTATTAGTTAATTCGTCATAATGCCATTTCTGCTTGATCTACCAAACAAGAGAAATTTCACTACCTGACTTAGGGATGGAACATCAGCTGAAAAGCATACACTTCTTAAACAAGGCTTCCATCTTTTTGGCTATCACAAGAAGAAAGACAAAGGATCTAATGGATGACACTAGAGAGAAAAGAACAAAGATGAAGACATCAGGCCAAATAAATCAGTGTATAATCATGATTCATTATTTGTGAAATTCAGACAAAAATTACACAAATTATAGCAATTTTCAGTTAGAGATCTATGGGATTTTAAAAGCATTGATTTTTTTTTTTTTTAATTAATTTTTCATTCATTTTTAAAAATTTAATAGTATTGATCTTTTTCTCTCCAGTCCAATAGTATCTTTGTCACTATAGCAACATAGATATAAATGTCGATAGGCACCAAAGAGAAATGAATGTTCGCCAAATTAAGGCACAAAAAGGCTCCACTTTATGATCTTTAAATTTCTTATTAAAATATTATCTATCACAAACATTTGAAGATTCAGAAACCTTTCCAGAAAAATTGTTGAAATAAAGAAAAAAAAAAAAAGAATTCTTTCGAATGGAACAAACATTATTATTGTGATAAATTAACATAGCAAGTGATTGTTTTTTTTTTTTTTTTCGACACATGTCGCCTGTGCATGACGGTCACCTAGGCTATAAAAGTTTTTGAAATTTGTTTGGTACAACTTTCAACATTGTTAAATTTTAAAACTATCTACCTACAATAAAAGTGAAAGAAAACAAACAATAAATTTAATATCTTTTTTTTTCAAAAGTTTATTAATTTATTGTGCAATGTACATTATCACAGCATACGTGTTAGAGAATCAAGATTCCCCCACATCTAAGAAATGTAAAGTTTGTTTACTGAAAAGTGAAAAATACACCGTAAACGGTAAAAAAGTGTTTATCCAAGCGATTGAAAAGATCAAAAGCCGCAATATTACGAAATACAAAACAGAAGTGAAAATAGAGTTTGACTAGAAAATATTTTTGAATTTTAAAGCAAGTAACCATTACGGAAAGAAATCAAAATGTATTGTAAGAACATCATAACAAGTCTGTTAATTAATAATAAATTTGAATTGGCCGTCTCGCTTTAGAGTAGTGGTTAACAAACCAGAACCACAATAAATAGAAAGGGTTCAATACTCACTGAATATCACCGAAATTATAGCCTTGTGCCAGACTATGCTAAGCTTAATAAATATTGACAACGTAAAGAGAAACACAAGAGATCAGTGATGATCAGTCAACATAACAAACAGCTGAAATTCTTTAGCGAAAGATACGAGGGTAAAATAAAAACAGAACATACTGATGGGTCATCACAAAGTCTATCTAATAATTTCAAAAGAAAATGCAAATAAAATAAGTTTGCTTTTTTAGTGACTAATTCAGGTGAGGAAACATTAAAATAAATAAATAAAATAAAAAAGAAAGGAAATTTGTCTTAGGATAATCAAATTTCGCTATCAGTTTTTTTTTTTTAAATGTAAGCATCCAATCCACAAGAATATTTTATTTTTTCACTGACTAATGAAAATAAATGTCTGAATTGAAGTTTAAATATTTAAAAAGAAAAAGATAAATAAATTCCATTTATGATTTTAAATCGAATGAAAGAAACCAATTCCAATTCTTGAACAGAAGCAAAACCAACACAGAATTCTTTAACTAAACAAAAAATCAATCGGTAATGGTCACACAATAATAAATTAATAATCATCTTCATTAGCATCAAGACATTTTTGTTTACTCACATTAAGTAAACTAAACATTGATCAATGTTATTTATAATAAATGACGTAAAGAGACCTTGAAGAAAATTTATCTCCCAAAAAAGACTGACGAGATGATGGTTACTACTTGTACACAATCTACATCTTTCTTTTTCATTGAGATAAGAAATCTCACTTATTACAAAGAAAAAAAAAAGAAAGAATCGAAACTAATTGAATAAACCTTTAAAATTCAAACTGATGGAACTTAAAAGATCTAAAAAGTATTTGAGAAAAATTGTCTTCGACAACAATTGAAGTTAATTTAACTGGAAAATGGAAATCGAAGTGTGTAAAAGGGAGATCTTCAATATTGCAAAGTCTTGGAATATAGAATATATATATATATATATATAATAAAAAAAGCCATGACGAAATTAAAATAAATTAAAAATAAGTTCAACGTGCACGTTTCCATCAAATTTTCAAGTAAAAAAATTAAAAAATATAATTTTTAAAAATATAAATTAAAGACATTTATCCACTTTAAAACACTTAATAAAATTATAGAAGGAATTAGAACCTAAACAAAATTTTAAAATAAAAATATTATTACATTGTTACATATAAAATAATAAAAAAAAAAATAACCCGAATTACTAATGCAGTGAATATTAATAATTTGGTTCAGGCAAATAAAAACGATTTCTTTTACAAATTAACCTGGAAAAAAATGAGGACAACTGAACATCCTTGAAGGTTTGAGAACATCTTAGCATCCATACAAATAGTAAATGTGTTTTCTTTTATATATAAAGAGTAAATAAAAGTAAAATGATCCAATAGGGGAGGGAAAAAAAGAGGCCAGTCCACATGTCGTCGTCGTCGTCTTCTTAAGGTCTTTATAAAAATGGGAAGTCAAGTAAAGCTACAACATCACAAACACAAGATCCTCGTAACAACATCGATGAAAATAACAAAAACTAAATATTTTCTCAGACTTTCAATTTCAATTCACAACAACAAACCAACCATTTTTATCGAAAGATAATTATTTTTTCTAATTTCCTTTATTATCCTTCGAGGAGAAAACAAGAATCCGAAACCGCCCGTTTCTCACAAAAGGAAAAACCAACCAGCTCAGTTTTAAAATGGCGAGAGCTAGGCTCCACCAAACAAGCCAAGAAACTTTCAACTGCAGGGGAAAGGCGAATTGACAAAAACAACCAATTACTGATCAGAAAAAAATGCAATTATATTCTTGTATCTTACCTCAAGGTGCTGCGGCAAAGTTGATGATTTTTTTTTTAAAGTAATGAATGTTCGGTGAATTAGTTAGAAGACCCGTCGCTCCGTATTCCTTTCTAGTTGCGGCTAGAAAATGGCTTCCACTTTGTTCTCGACATGTAACGTGTGCGTATCACGTGACCGGCTGCCGCGAGCGGAACATTACCTAGTTCGAACCTGACAAACTGCATTCTGTGCATGAGTCTTGTTTATTTCTGTATTTATTTTGTACAACGTGTATCTAATAAAAGTGATAACTATCATTTAAGAATTTTAATTATTGAAAATAAAGCTAGTTTGACTAAATGCATTATTAATTAATAAAGCTAAAGCAACATCCTATGTAAGCAAGTGCATCGCATCACACGCTTGCGCACACATTTATTTTTAGTAGTGTGTGTGTGTGTATATATATATATATATATATATATATATATATATATATATATATATATATATATATATATATATATATATATATATATATATATATATATGATGATGATGATAAATGCCTGTCCGAATAGACTCATATTACAAGATGACGTCATTTTTATATCTCCATGCAGCGGTGACGTATGTCCTAATTTCTGGGACCCGAAATTATTGTTATTATTTAAAAATTAAAAAAAATGTTTCCGAGACAAAAGCTGCATAACAAATGCTTTTTGCTGAGCTTCATTCGGGAAGGAAGGAAGGAAAAGGAAACAGATGTGTATTTTAAGAAGTAATAAAATTACCTACAAAATATTCGTAACGTTCTAAAAAATCAGACTAAAAAACAAAACAGCAGAGACAGACCTACAAACACGGTTATTTTTATTTATTTATTATTCTTGTGTGCGTTTTATGATCGCATCGACAAGTTGTTTCAGCTCCAAGATCGAATCGAAGTTATTTCTGCGCATGCCAAGAGGCACGTACCTGTTTTTGTTTTTTACATGTTTTTTTTTGTGTTTTTTTAAGCAGAAATCACCCCAACCCAATCTATTTAAAAATAAATAAAATCTATCTTTTCAATCAAAAATAATGTTTCCATTTCTCTTTTTTTAAAAAGTGAGTCTTCTTAGATATTGCAATTTTAATATCTAAGTTTCTTCAAGTTTTCCCCTGGTAAAAAAAGGTTAAGAAGACTAAGAGTGAAGTCAATTCAGTCTCCATATTGACTAGAGAGAATACTTTCATTTTACAATTTACACTTTATAGCATATTTTAAAGTATGAAGCTAGCAAAAAAGTGCTAAAACAAATTATATAAAATTAAATAAAATATGATAAAAATTTTTATCAATGTGATGTTTACTAAGTGAGAGCTCTATTACCCATTCTCTTATTATGATGTAGCAATCAATATTTTTAACTCTCAAAAGAGATGTTTAAAAAAAAGTTTTTCATCTGAATATAAATTTTGTATTTTCTATATTCATGAAAATTCAATTTTTGCAGAATTTTTTGCTTTTTTTCCTTATAATGAAAAAGCAATCATTTCAACAATAAAGTTACCAAATAAAAAATTTTGTTCACAATAAATTCTATTAAAAATGTAAAACAAAACTTAATTTCATATATTACATCTGTTGTTGAAATTATTCCTTCAATTTTCAAACAATACAAAATTTGATAAAACAATATTAGAAAATGAATGTTAATATATAACTTGAAAGTTTTATTAGAGCTTAACAAGCTTCAAATCAAGTATTTGCTTGAAGATTGTTTTCAAAGTTTTAATGAAAATATTTGCTTGAATGTTGTTTTTCAATACTTAAGTATAGTGTAAATTTAATTTTACTATGATAAAATACAGTAAGAGTCCTAGTTAACTGAATGACAAAATGGTAAAAACTCTTTGTATCATATTTCATCCTTCAAAAGGACTTCATCAGACTAAAATAATTTTCTTATTGTTAGAATTATATATATGTAGAGGAAGAGGTGAAAATACAAACAACATGGTTTTTTCCATTCTGTCATTCAATTACCTATCATTACTTTGATATATAGAATTTATATATCATATTCTTCCAATAATAATCCTACAAAGTCCTTTAAAATATATGGATAATTTTTAGTTAATTGTATTTTATTGTAAATTCTTCTGTCTTGTGGTTTTAGAATGTCCTAGTCAGTCATTCTGTATGGCTGGTTGCTTGTATTTGAGTATACCTGTCTGCTAGCATGGCTAACTAATCCCTGTTGCAGACACCTACTCAAGTACATTTGTGTTCTTTCAAGGCCCACAGAGCCAACCCATGGTGTATGCTGTAACTATGCTGAAAAGACCTTATTTATAGTCTTTAGAAGAGAGCGGACCATCTGTCATGATCTGCAGTTGAACAAGGCCAGTACATTCAAAACCTTGGTCATGATGACTTGTGATTTAGCACTAACACAACTGTTGATGGCTTCCAAACAGTTCTATGCAATTTCACTAATAAGACTTGGATCAGTTCATAGAATAGTTTTCAAGCACTTCTCAAAGGTGCTGCATGTTGGGATCATCTCCCCAAACCTTACGTTATGAAGACATCACCTCTCTGAAAAATTGACCATTGTGAGATTCAAATCCAGGTTTTATGATCAGAATGCTAAGATTCTAAGTATTTGACTATGCACCCACATCCATTTATATTATGTTATATTAACTTCACTATCCTAGCTTGGAATGAGACACAAGAACACATTCATATTCCACCACTGAACATTGTCTTGTGTTTTTGGTCTATGTTTCACCCTATGAAAGACTCAGTTTCCTCTGTTCTTTCATCTACCAGATGAGTTTTAGCTTGTTTTACTTTCTTTTCCCAGTTGGAGTCAATTTCAAAATGACTTTAAATATTCTTTCATTAGAAATCCATAACTGAGTTTCTTAATCTTTACAATCATATTCCTACAGTGTGTCCCCTTAGAGTTCCTCTATGTAGATCTTGTTAGGTCTGTAGATATGTTATGATGTTGATTTGGGGTTAGTAGAGACAAACGCCAAATAACACGTAACAATAAAAAGGGTTTTAATAGGTTGGTAAAAAGGTACAGAAATCGCCTGAGTAGTCAATAACTAGCTCAGCTAAGAACTTCTCTGTCTATCTGTCTTCCCCCATGTCAACTGACATGCCACTATTTAAAGTCTTTGTTCACAGACACAGACAAGTTCATCTTCAAGAGGGGTGGTAGGTTTCCAACACACCAAGATATTACAGAGCTTTTGTAAACAGCTATTCTGAAAATCATACTGGGTTGCTATGTCCACATTAGACTTTACTATTCTCTAATTATTTGAACTAGCATTCACATCTTTACTGTTTTTCTTACTACATTTCTGCATTCATCAGCCTTTCTCTGGCACACATTTTTTTAATCGGAATCACCCCATGCAAGGCAGTAAAGCCACTAAGACACAAGAGGTTACACAGTGTGGAAGAATTAGGAACAGAAATATTGATAATGAGTGGGAAGAGAAAAGAGTAATCAGGAGGACAGTAGATAGTGATTGAAATTGCATTTAAATCTTTGCAGATTAAAGTTGGCTGGAAAGCACAGAACCGGAAGGGAGTTTCACAAGCAAGAAGTGCGGGGAAAGAAACTGTTATCATAGAATTTATGGCTACCTCTAGCCAACTCAACTGTAAATTGATGAGATCTTGATGCCAGTCTAGTACTGCGCTTAAATTCATGAAGTTTATGTTCCATAATGAAATTATTTATAGAAAAGGCACAGAGAGGTAACTTTGCAGTAGTGTGTTATAAAATAAATTAAGACATATTTCAGCTGATTTACAGGCAAATAAACTAACATACACAAGAGCGAGAGCCGGATGTGAACGGGACAAGGCCCCGTCACAAAATGACCATATTTACGCATGTTCCTGAACGCACGAGTTCCAGTCGAAAAATAAAATAATATTTTAAAGTGTTTCTATTTTTCAACCAATAAAAATGCTTCCCTCCTAATTATACTCACGTCATTTTTCGAACCTGATAAGCCATAAAAAACGCCATAAAAGGGGTCACACGGAAGTACAATGAGAGTCAACAGGAGGCCAGGGAAGAGACCTGTCACGGCCAGGCTGAGCAGTCAGCAGCAGCCAGCAGCAGTAGCTCCACGCCAACCAGCGAGAACTGCTATGAGAGATCAACCCAGATCTTCAGCAGGCCTATGAACTATACCCCAAGGTAGCTGTCCCAAATCCATACGTTCCTATTGAATAAAATCACGTAAATCTATTTCTGCTGTTGTCGTATTTCTTTCTTGCAACCATACGCTTGTCTATAACAAGAGGGAAGGTGGCTCAGATCTAGCCTCCAGATCAGGACCAGATTTTATCTAGAGAGTTGATTTTCTTTTTATAAATGGTTTTAAATCTGAATATAAAAAAAGATTACTGTAAACAGAGGCAACCCGACAGTTTGAAAAACAATCCAATGCATGTATTGAGTAACCCAACTCATCTATAAAAGAAAATTTCAACCAGATGAACATGGAGAAAGTTGGGAAGTGAAAATTTGGCCTTGTAAAAATATTCAATTTTTCTACAAAGGAATCCCTCACCAAAAACAGAGGTGAAGAAATAAATAGATGAAGTGCAAATACAATATTTTATATTCTAGAAATTTTTAAGGTGTTTTATAAAAATTGGTCCTTTTTTTTCCATTCAGTTTCTTATGAGGACAGTTTTCATACTTCAGAGAAGCAACTAGACACAGGGGGATTTCTAAAAGCCTGCTTTTATTACTTCAATTTTGACTGTTACTGCAACTGCTATTTGGACTGACAACTTGATACATTGACCTTTTATTTATACATGTAGTTGTGAACACAAGAATACATGCAAATATCTAACAGAAAAATGCTTGACTCTATTTGAATATGTGTTACTTGAATGATGTAAAAATCCAAATAACTTAATAACTATAAATGATTAAAAGTTGAAAGCTTTTCCCATAAATTATAATTTAATTAAATTTTAAGTTGGTATCTACCCAGTAGGGACAACATATCTAAATAATTTTCAATAAAAAGAGGTTTTTATTTTGTTTGAAATTTATTAGTTATTAGAATATGTTCAAATATTATGCCTACTTGAATTTGTATCTAGTTTGTTCATTTTAACAAATCTTAATTTATATAGGTTTTTTACAGTTTTTCTTCACCAACACTACAAACTCT